AAATTTTACCCACTGCCGCCTCAAATTAGCGTCTTTTGGAAACTTATGCATAGTATGGCCTGTTTTGTTCGAATTACTGCAAAACTAAACAAACATGTGCTTATTTCACAACGTGTTCAAGAAAGACCTTTGACTTCCCGTAACTTAAGGTCCACCCGTGACGTCATTTGCTAGATTGCGCAATTCAAGATGGCGGATGTTTAGAGCTTTGAAGCGATTTTTCAACGTAAAAACGGGCTAAAGTGAACAAAAGATCTACAGATTTGGCAGATGTCATGTATGTACTAAACGACTATGTGGTCCCCAAAATAGCATTTTTTGGGTTTACATGCCCTTTAAGCCTGACTAACCTTGTTTTTGAGTCGATAGTTCAAAAGAATTTTTACTCTAAAACAAGGTTAGTGAGGTTAATAGAATTTTCAATTGGCAGCCATAAAAAATTTATGGAAAGGGTGTATTAACCTATCATAAGTTGTATGTTTGTACATGTAACTTTTAAAAACAGTTTTTTTGATCAAAGAGTGTACAGAAGCAATAAAAATAAGAAAGATGGTGTCTATACCTTTCCAGGTTGTAGATAATTACAAACAGTTGAGTTAGATGGACAGCCACCATTATCCCTCTGACAAGGGTCAATTGCTAGAAAAAAAAAGCGTAAATAATAATTATAGCAAATTGAGATATCAAAAAGTACATTATCTATAGGTAAGTTCTTCCACATGGAGACACTTTTAAAATTTGACTCAAAACAGTAGGTTGCCTTTTTTCCAAATTCCATTTTGTCGACTCTCACAGTAAGTCTGTTAACACAATGTGACACAGTTTTTCACACAACAGGTAATCCTTTTTCTCCTAGTATTGTCATTTCCAAACTATCAGGATTGTTACTGGGAATTGCTTCCAATAATTATGAAGGAAGGGGAATATGCAGGGAATTGAAATATCATTAAAGACAGTTAAATGTCATTTGTATTTGAAATGATTCCCAAGATGAACAAAAGAAAATAAAAATGGCCTGTTATTCAAGACGTTGATTTGATAAATGTTCATTATCAGTGTCTCTACAGTGTAGATGGATAGGTGGGATATTTATTTATAAGTATTTTTTGCAAGGTGTCTAACCACTAACACAATCTTCCTCTTTCACCAAAGAGTGGAACTGGGAAGAAGAGCTTATGATGCTTCCTTGGAAGCTCCCAAATAGTGGGGGAGGAAAACAATAATTCATCACCTCCAACATACCTCTTACCAACAGTTATAAGAAAATAATAAATCTTACCCGAGCACACAACTCCATCTCCTCTATAACCTGCTGCACATGTGCAATTATTCTTCCCAGGTCCCAGGTAGAAGCAGTCTGCATTACCGTGACAGCCATGGGTACCATCATTACAGGGATTGATTGCTTGAAAGGAGAAAATCCAGTTTTAGTTCAAAAATCAAAGTGTGTTATAATTTCAAGAAACAATTCATAATATGGTTCTGCCTATGAAGAAACGAAAATTCCTTGACTTTCTATGGAAGGAAAACAATCTCCACTGGTCATAAAAAGACTGATGAACATTAGTGAAAGATAGCCAACTAACAATTTGACTAACAATATTAATTTGTTAATTTCCTTTGTGAACAGTTGGGGTTGTTATCAATAACACTCCAAAATACTTTAAAGTTTACAGAGAACTATATAGTCAAACCTCCACTACAATGGCCTCCTCTCTTACAACAGTCACTTTTTTATATCCCAGCAGATGGTCCATACATTCACTCTCATTTAACCTCTCTACTATTACCACCTCCTAAAAAACAGCAAGAGCCACTAACGCGCGTCACATCTGCCAAAATAACCTCTTGGCAATGGCCAGTTACAGTAATCAATGAATGGCAAGCGGTGTATACAAAACCCCTTTTATTGGAAAAGGTCACAAAACTTGATCAGTATTTGAATGTATCCTGGAATAAATTAAAGTCTCTTTTCCTGTTGTCAAGTACACAGCCATTTGATCCATGACGTGAAACTTAAAGTTTTTTATATAATATATATATATCATAAACTTTACTGGTTTCCTGCACTACTAGTACATACATCGTCAATCTCTTATATCACTTAACCTACTTAAAGTTACGATTGCTTACATTACTTTTGTCACTAACTTAAACTTTACTTAATGCTGAACTGTCAATTTTCAAAGAAGCTAAATATTAAGTATAGAAAATTCAGTGAAGAGAAAAGAAGCATAAGAGAGGTATTTGAATGTGTTGTTAAGTGAAAGGACGCGGAAATACAGTGTAAAACTGTACTTTATGTTTCGATATTATAACTTCTCTTTCAACTACAACGGAATCCAGATTTTTAGCACATCCCAAAAAAAATGGAAATTTGTTAAAACAGCTAGGATTTCAAGAAATTGGGGCTACCATAATTTATTACAGTGAAACAAACTCTGTGGAAATGGCGTTTGGTTCAAGCTAAGCAGGAGCATCAAGAAGTCAAGGATTTTGAAATCATGATTCTTATGTAATTTTGTTTACGATACCCCAACCAAGGAATGATGAATGTTCTATTGTACATGATCAGTGCAATAGAATAGACTTAATTGTTCCCTCTGTGCATGTTCATGAGAATAATTATTAATTTGCTGTGTTATGTCTCTTAAGCGAATGCACATATACACAATACCTTATTAGATATTGTAGTCTCTCTGTGCTGTTAGTCCAATATTTTTTCTCAGTGTCAGGTAACTGTGAGAGTGCTAAGATTGATGGTGCAAACATTGTGAGGTTTTGTCTTGGATCAGACAGGTAGTGTAGCATATGTCCTTGCTGTTTGGATACAAGAAGAAAAAATTCAAAATAAATATACATTCACTTCCTGGGGAGGGGGGAACTCCCTTACATGGGCTATATAAGTATGTGCGCCAAAAAAAGGTATGGTACCATTTTTATTAACTGTTTTGGTCTGAAATAGGGTATGGTTTGTGTGTAAAATGGGGTTGACTGGCCTACACGACTCCTGTGGTTCATGGCATTTGTACATTTACCATTTTCTTTTGATTTTTGATCTCTCAGCCTTTCTCCAGCATAATAAAAGTTACAAACATTGACTATAAGGCGGGCCTGAAATGGGGTAGCAAATTTTTGGTCAAATCTGAAATAGGGTGGGAAAAATCACAGATTTTGGTCTGAAATAGACCAAGGGTTTCAGGAAACTAAAAAATATAAAAAAGAACGACCAAGAAAATTTCTTACCCTAATTAAATTCTCTAGGCCTGGATTGATCCTTGAAATGATCTGTAAAAAAGAAAGTTGTTGTAAGTTTACATTATGAAATTGAAAATTTCACTGGAAATTATTGTATTCCCATGAGTATTTACTTGATTAATTGAAAACATAAGGTGATGAAAGCCCTAATCTTAACGTAATACAAAAATTATATATTCCATACCGTAGCAACAGATCCAAAACAGAAATAGCCATCACCAATGAAGCCACTATTACAATGACAACTGTAATTCCCTGGGCCTGTACGCATGCACTTAGCCTGCAAAAGATAACAACAGATAAAATGTTGACTAACAATTTTACAAAAGAGATATAAATTATATAGACCCTTTTCATAAATGGCTGCCATTTAAAATTCTTTTGTATACATTTAAATTAGCCTTACTAACCTCGTTTCAGAGTAAAAATTCTTTTGAATTAGCAACTTCAAAATGAGGTTAGTAAGGCTAATTTTAATACTTGCAAAAGAATTTATAATTGGCCGCCACTTATCAAAGTGGTCTATACTACAGCTTGCAACTTAGACATTTTATATCACTTGTCCTCCCAGACAAAGGCTTGAAACTCTGACAAAGTGTTTCTAAAGAGCAGAAATATAATTATCAAACGTTTCACTAGCACTAGTGCAACACAGTCATACAAGTTTTAGAATGAAAGATTTGTGACAAACACCCTCAGATCTCCAAGACCCTGTGGGACACCTCAGCCTAGTCTGTTTAGGGTGTTAAACAGATCTACGTGGATACAATTTGCTAATAAGCAGATTTTTTGCAAAATTTGGACCAAACAAATCATTCTCAGACTACTCAGATAGAGATAACACTATGAAAAACTGTAGATCAATCACAATAACTTCAATAACAAATTCCACGCTCCCTAGAGAGCCCTTATCATCATGGGATAAATTCATGAAAATATTTCCTAAACCAAATGGGCTGATGATAAATATAAAGTGACCATTACTGTAACTTATTCCCACCTTAAATGAACTGGAAGTAACAGAGTTGCACAAGGATGTGATATCAAAAACAAAAACTCAAACAAGCTAAACAGTCACACATTTTATCCTCAATAATAAATATGAAAGAAAACATTTGATTGTTGAGCCCAGGGTTTATATACATTTAGATAGACAAGTACAAATACTGATAAAAGCTACTTACGTCAAGGGAGCAGCCTCCATTATTTACTAAGCAGGGGTTGATCTCAGAACATGTTGAGCCACTTCCTGTATAACCTGGCTTGCACACACAAATGCTCTGTAAAAAATTATTTCAAGGTAAGACACTTTGGTTCATGTACAAATACAGTGTTTTCATAGAGATGTATGCCTACGAAACAGAGAGTGGAATCCCAAAAAATAATATTGCACATTATATAGCCACAATAATTATAACAAAGGTGTTAATTTTTGAAGAAATTGTTGGGTTGCATCAGCGGACAAGTGAAACACTTTGCTCTTTGTTAGCGCATTTGACTTGCTGACGTGGAGCTACATGAAACACCCTGGCAAATCTGTTCAAAGTTCTGATGAAGGGCTAGTGTTCAAAGCATCAGCATCACCAAGTCACATAGTTGGTTATATTAATTAACCTTTATCAACAGCAAGTAAAATTATTAGCTAAGTGTTTCACCATATTAATATAGTTAATTAAATTGCTGGAAGCAGAGAGATGGACTACTCCAGTAGGTAGACACCTTCTGATGGTCCCAGCCACCTACAAACACTACATTTTAACTCTCTGATAAGCTGGAAACTCCTCTATGTGGACATTGTTTTTTCTGGTTCCAGCAGTGCCTGGTTATGGGAGTTGAACTGCATTTATAATCCATAAAATGCCACATTAGATGCTAACCTGTCCAGGGCCTATGTACTGACAGTCTGCATTACTATGGCAATTTCCAGCATCTTGCTCAATGCAAGGATCTATTGCGACACACACAAAACCATCACCACGGAACCCATTATCACATGAACAGTTGTTACTACCAGGTCCAGTCTTGGTGCAAATAGCTTCATGATGGCAGCCTCCATAGTTAGGTTTGGAACAAGGATCAATTTCAGTACACTGTAGTCCAGAACCCTCATAACCAGCATTGCACTGGCAGCTATGATCATAATGACAGAAATAAAGAAATAATAAAATTAATAAATACTTTATTTACACTTCAAAAAATTAAAAGAGGAAAGACCAATGGTAAGAAATTTTCAAAAATTTGGGTACAGAGAAACCCTGCCTTGCAGCTACTATACCCCATTAACAAGCCAGTCCACTTTATTCTGGCCTGAACAAAAACTTAGTCAGTCATGTTCTTATTTAAAGAACCCCTATACTAAGGCCATCCATTAATACAGCAATAGTTTTGTGGCCCATTGGTGACCTCATGAGGCTGCCCTTTTCTCTGGAAATTCCAGCAAATACTGTTCCATCAGCTACTAGAAATTTCCACAAATTCAGACCAGAATTTTTGCTACGATGGAGAGGGCCCTTTATGTGATACTCACCTGTCAACATTTCCTCCTCGTATGCAAGTAGCATGCACATGACATCTGCGGCTCACAGATCCAGGACATGGAATATCTCGCTGGTCACAGTTGGTGCCATGAAAACCAGGGGTACAAGATCCAGGTTTACATGTCCCATTTTTCTGAGGGCCACTGTCACAAATTCCATTCATACATGTGCAAGCTAAATGGTAGCAAGCAGGTGTAAGTGGCAATTAACATAAAATGTTACAATTGACCATAAAACTACCCTTTGTAGCCCATGGTCCTTGATTTTGATTAATCACATTCATTATGTTTTAGTGACGCTTACTTTGATTACAGAACGAGCCAAATTTGTTGTCTTCTTTACAAAGCTCACAGGCTGTTCCCTTGAAGTTGGGCTGACACAGGCACCTCCCATTACCATTGATTTTATCCAGACACTGTTAAAAACAGACAAAGTTACATTTTTGCTGTAATGGGATTGGGGTATTCTTATAAAGTAACAACCCCTGTGACAGTTCCACATTTTTTTACTGTCTAGCATCAAAAGTCCTTGGGTAACAATAACTGAAAAACATTATGCTCTAAAGGTCTTGACATTTCTTATAGTGCATACAGAGTTAGTGTCATAATGTATATGAGATTAAGAAATCCTGTTGTTCACATTAGACTGTAAATCCAATACAGACTCATACTGATTGGAGACATTCATTTATAATGACATCATATGGAGATCATGTATTGAGGGAGTAGAACAATCAACATGCATTACACGCATACAATGCTTTAGAATAATTATACTATAGTCATGTAGCTGCTGTATACCTGGTATTGGACCTGAGTTTGTATCATGTTTATATACATGCACAGCTGGAAATTACAGAGGCAGCATGTCCCAGATGTGGCCAGTGCAATAATAATAATAATAATAATAATAATAATAATAATAA